TTCTTCTAAAATTTTTGTTGCTGCTGTTAATCTAAAATGTAACGATGGTGATGTGTTTGGAGTACCGCCTCTGCTTCTCATTATAAAATTTTTTATTGTTGATATTAAAAAAAAAAAAAAAAAACCCTAATCACCATGCCCATTGCCGACAAAAAATATATATATCTGGGATTGATGCTCTAGGGTCTTGCATAATTTTTATTTTTTTTAAAAAAAAAATTTAATAATTTGATGACAATTTTTTTTAATTTAAAATAAAGGATTTATAATTTAAGTTGTATAATATTCAAATGAAATGAATGACGAAATAAATAAAATTATTTTTATTATGCAATCTAAAATTATATATATAAAAAAAAAGACAATAACGTATAATGTACAAATTGAAACAATGATATGGTCCAATTGCAACTTCACAATGAGATAGAGAAAATAGATTTTTGTCTGTTAAGTCCACTTTCCAGTGCTCCCTTTGGTATTTTTTCTTTGAACTAGTACAATCGCGAGATGATAAATGGGATTACCTAAATTTGAATCTTGGATTTATGGATGTCATTATTCTTTTAAAGGAGTTGTACTCATTAAACCACAATAGTGGTTGGCGTGCTCCCCGTTAGTATTTGAGATAGAAAGGTTTTGCCTTTTTGGTCATATTTGAGGTAAAGATTGAAGCCCCCTTAATTTCAAGTTTTCAACCTCGATCGTCTCAAAAATTGCTGAAAATATATGACATTGAACATTATATTATAATTTATGAAAAAAAAAGGGGAATTAATTAAGTACAATCATTCAAATATACTGTAATAAACATAATCATCCCCAATCGGTTAATCCTTACCGTTCTTTCCCCATCTCTTAGCATTTTTATCACTCTACCCCGCCTTGATTACATAATTTACAGATTTATGCCGTGCAAGTGACTGCATAGGAACACTCACACCTCCATTGTTATTCTTCTGCTTACAAATTAACCTCTCGATTCGGTGGCTAACAGGCGTAGAACTCGACGAGCTCCTCCAACGACTCCGGCTGCGGGTCGGCATTTTCGAGCATCCACAGCAAGTGCTCGAACAGGACCACCTCACAGGAGACAATGATGGTGTCGTTCTCGCCGGACCTCTCCGCGAGCTCGCGGAAGAGCGGGTGGTCGATAATGTCGGAGCTGATGAGGTACCGCCGTCGCGATTTCCCGACGTAGACAGGGTGGAGGTTGGAGGAGGAATCGTCCTCCGCAGCAACCGCGGAGCTCGACATCGACCGGCTCTGCTTGTAGTTGAATGAGTTGAGCTTCTTCAGAACCGACTTGAGCTTCATCAGTTTGCTGCCTCCTGACGCCATGGCTGTCTTCTCTGAGTTGCAGAGGGAGTCTGAGAATGTTGCTTGTGCTGGGACTTGGGTGTGAAATGGGAAGTGATTAATTGTGGTTTGTGCGCTCAGAAAGGGGAAGGAAGGCTCGAATATAAAGGGGTTTGGAGAGGGGTGAAATGGGAAATTGATTGAAATATGGTTACATGAGTGGGCCCTGGGGTGGAGTCCGAGTAGTGTAATAGATAATTGCGTTTTTTTGGTGTGAGTTGAATTTATTTAATCGCCAACCGTCGCTCAAATGACTATTATTTGTTGAAGGTGATAGAGGAATTTTTTTTTTT